TTTGGGACTTATTGGGATATCTGCCAGTTACACGCATATGTGTGAACATATGCACACAAACATACATGATTTACTTTATAGAAGTATCTAATGAACTGAAAACAGAGAAATTTTATTATCAATTGTATGTATATTAAAATCCTGGTAACATGTATGAAATAAATACCTCTTTGTTTAATGTGTAATTAGAGAGCCTGGCTTAAATTTGTACCTACATGTTCTGATTTCTTTTCTTTTTCTTTGATGAACACCACACCACAAACAAGTTGGGGAGAAAAGAGCTTACTTCATCTTCCAAATTATGATCGATCTTCATTGGAAACTAGAGGACGAGCTCAAGTATAGAGAAAGAAACACAGAAGCACAAACACTAGAGAATCACTGTGTACTGATTTGCACTACCAGATTTCATGTCCCAACGAGGCCAACTTGTTTGTGGATGGCATTGTTGCCAGTGGGATGGGTCCTCCTACATCAATTATCTATTAATAAAGTGCCTTCAAGATATGACCACAGACCAACCTGATGAAATTAATTATTCAACCAATGTGACTCTAAGTTTGTTGAGAGTTGACTGGTGAAGCTACTACAACACTATGTGACTATGGTCATATATGATCTGGAAGTATCATTTGAGATGAACACAGCAATGTCCTTGAAATTATGGGTTTTCAATAAAGGTCACATTACTTCTTGACAAAGACAAATAAAAATGAGGTTTTCATGACCTTTCCTTAAAATATTGTTTAACTAATTGAATATTTTGACAATTTTGTATATGTATATCATAAACCTTGATTATTCTCACACCCATACAACCTTCTCTTTCTCTTATTCCTGCCAATCTCACTTCCACCCTACAGGTTCTTTCCCATAAACAGCTGACATAACTTTTGATATTGTTTTATGACCCATTGAATTTATCAAGAGCCAACAGTGTGACCATAAATATAGAACTATTTCTAGAGAACCTGGTGGACTCAATCATGGATACACAACTGAAGATAATTAACTCCTCCTCCAGAATCCTGAAGAAACCAACCATTTTCTAGGCAAAATCAGTACCGCTATAAGCTACGCTCACATTCATAGACAGATGGTGACATCTCCATTCTGTGCAGACCCAGTACACACAACTACAATTGCTTTTACACCATGATTACATGACTATGTTATGTCCTAGAAATAGCATGTCATGATTTTTTTCAATCATTCTAAGTCTTGAACTAACAAAAGCCTTTGCATTTCCACCACTTTAAGCCTTACCTGGTAATAGATTGCCAGTTAGGACTCTGTATCTACCATTATTATGAGACTTCACTATGGTCACTCATAGATTCTGAGACTTTTCACTGAACTAGGTTTCCACATTGAGCCCAAAATAATCATTAATTTGAGGCATCTCTACCTGGACTTACCCTTCAAAAATCTTGCATAATGGTTACTTTCCTAGGAAGGTGCATAAACATTGGAAGCATCAGAATACATAATGAAATCTAATCTTCCACATGGAGAGATGGATACATAGAATTATTGACAAATTATCTCAACAATACATATAAATATATAGAGGATCTCCCATTTTATAAAACTAGAAGTGCACCACCTTGAATTTATACAATGTTTGCTGTGCAGAAGAATATCCATTGACAGGTTTTGAAGAAACAGCAAATCCTGCTTCCCTTTTACAAAGAGCAAATGTTATTTCTTAGAACAAATTTTGTAGGTGAAAATGAATAGGTAGGAAATAAAATGTAAATCTAGATCTACAGTTAGATTGATTAGAAAAATAGTCAATGTTTTTCTTAATGATAAAATGGAATTAGTATACAGCCAAATTTCATTTAGTATTTCTCAACATTTATTATTTTCCTGAGGTATAAAAGAGAGAATTAATTTAGTATATTCACTCACGTATCACTCAAGGATACAGATAGTGCTAATATTCACTATAATTATAATATTACTTAATTCTTTTTGCTGAAGGGCTCAACTTTGTCAATGTATAATTTTGTGATTAGGGCTTCTTTTAGATTCCTAATCATAATTCACATTCCTTATGAGACAAAGATATGATTACGCTTCAGTGGCTTCATAAAACATGATTTAGGAAACGCTTAGAACTTACACATATGTTATATTGTGCTCATGGATAAGGTTAATAAATGAGGTTTAAATATTATCTAAAATAAACAAAGTTTCCTATGTAAATGGTTATCCACATATTCTTTAGCCAACAATCTATTAAAATTATGACTAGTTTTTAAAATATGAACATACATAACTAATTTTTGTTGATATTATCTGCACTTAGGCAATTATTTTTTCTATTTTATTGTTCATAGAAATTAAATTCCTTTAACTTAGAAAACAGGCATGATACTTTTGTTATTGGTTTGATATTTATCTTGTGACTATTCTCTTACTTTCCCTATCTAGAGATTTAGGAAACTCATAAAGTCAATCTAAGAGTCAATTGTGAGACCAGATAATAGAGATTATGTAGATGTCTATTACTCTAAGAACAAATATAGTGAAATGGGTAGACTTCTTGTGTAGTAATGATGTATCAGCCCACTACATTTCCATAGCTCTCATCTCCCAATAAAGTTTTACATCAATCTATATGCTTTAGCTCTTGTGACTCCAAGTCTAACTAGAATGTGTCAGGCTATATTTATCAATGGAAAATTTGATGGGAAATGTATTTACTCATTTACAACTCACTTATTTCAGACAGTTAAATATTCCTTTCTGTCAGGTGTAAGTTCAATAATTTGTCCAGGCCACCCACCACTAGATAGATATCATGCCTAGTAATTTCTATCTAGAACACATGCTCTCATTGACTGATGATGTCACTTACTTTACTGTCAGATTTTACATGTGTGATAACATGTTCAACATCTTATTTCTTGTTATATTGCAAGATATACTTGATTTAGTCACATTAATAATGTGCTCACTTAAAATGCATTGCACATAAGGAAGCCTGGTAAATATTAGTTATGTGAGCAAAAAAATTCATGAAGTACATTTTATTCATACTTGGTCTCAAAGTCTTAAAACAAATCATTTTAAACATAAATTCAGAACTATTAATATTTTTGGCTGGTGTCTATAAAAATCACCATTTTATTGCTAACATAAAAATGTATATTGTTAGTGAGTTTATTTATTACTTTCAAATAAAGGTTTTATGCATTTTTTACTCAATAACAATAAACTTGTTGTACAAAGCATGCAATCTTTGAGAATGAAGTTTAAAAACTTTGAAAATGTGCTGGAGAGATGGCTTAGTGATTAAAAGCACTGAATGCTCTTCCAGAGGTCCTGACTTTAATTCTCAGCTACCACATGGTAGATAAGGTGACATCTTCTGGCATGCATTTATACGTGCAGCCAGCACACATAATTTAAAATTATATAAATAGATAAATATATAGTTTTTGAAAACATTGTCCTTGTTGCATAAATGCAAGTAAGAGCAATTAAACTGTGCTCAAACAGCAAATAAATTTTAAAATAAAAGATCCAGAAAAGAAAAATGAAGATATTCATTGCAATTAAATATTTCTAAGAAGGAAATGATCATAAACCATTTGCTTACATCTTCAGTTTTAAGTCTTTGAGGGAAGTAATTACACCTGAAGGGATTTTCCTTTGAAAAACAAAAACATAAAATTTACTACAATCAATTCAGCTTCAAATTTATAAAAAATCATAAGAAATGACATATTGGGATGCTCCCCAGCAGGATGGACCACCCAGGGACTGGCCACACCTCAGTCTTCCCCTACCCCTTATATCCACACTCTGCTTGAGGTGAGTGTGGCCTCTTCTCAGGCCTAGTTCCCACAATATCCTCCCTTGAAACTTCCTGGATCTGCCCTGAATGTGTTGGACCCACACAAGCAGGACTGAATACCTTGAATTAGGCCACACCTTGGTCTTGAATACCCTCCAAACACTCTGTTCTCTGATTGAGCATGAGTGAGTAGGACACCAGGAGAGACTGGGCCAACCAACATTGCAGACATAGAAGTCTTGGCCCACATATGCCACCAGGAGACAAAAAGAAAGGGAGAGACCCCAGCTGCACCCACTTGAGAAGAGATGGGAAGACAATAGAATAAGAACACATTCAATAACAGAAAGACTGATATGACACCATCAGAATTTAGGGACTCTATACCAGCAAGACCTGAACATCACAAAGATGAAGCAGAAGAGAAGGATCTTAAAAACAAACTTCATGGAGATATTAGAGACCCTCAAAGAGGAAATAAGAAAATCCCTTAAAGAAATGGAAAAAACAAACAAAAATTGCATGAAATAGAGGAAAGGACAAACCAAAAAAATCAAAAAATAAAGAAACACCCTAAATATTACAAAGAAAGCTAAGAAAAAGCAACCAAACAAAGTAAGGAAACAATTCCAACAGTTCAAGGCTTGAAAGTTAAAATAGAAACAATTAAGAAAACACAGAATGAGGGGATGCTAGAAATAGGAAAGCTGGGTAAACAATCAGGAACTGCAGATGTAAACATAACCAATAGAATACAAGTGATGGAAGAGAGAATCTCTGCTGTTGAAGACTCACTAGAAGTAATACAGTAACTGACCAAAGAAAATCTCAAGGCCAACAAGTCCCCAATGCAAAATATCCAGAAAATATGGGACACTGTGAAAAGGACAAACCTAAGAATAATACGTATAGAAGAAGGTGAAGAAATACAGCTCAAGAGTACAGAAAACATATAAAACAAAACCATAGAAGAAAACTTCCCCAACCTAAGGAAGGATATGCATATGAAGGTAAAAGAGGTCTACAGAACACCAAATGGACTGGACTACCAAAAAATGTTCCCTTGGTACATAATAATCAAAGCACAAAATTTGCAGGATAAAGGAAAAATATTAAGAGCATCAAAGGAAAAAGATCAACATATAAAGGCAGATCTATCAGAGTTGCACTAGACATCTCAATAGAAACTCTGGTGCTTGCTTTGGCAGCACATATACAAAAATTGGAACAATACAGAGAAGTCTATCATGGTCCCAGCACAAGGATGACATGCAAATTCGTGTAGTGTTCCAAATTTTTCTACAATCAGAAAAACATAGGCAATAGATAATCCCACTTTAGCAACAGTCAAAAGAGAAAGGGGTGCAAATCTGTATGCAATTCCACCAACAGCAATCATTCCAAAACAAACAAGAATGAGTGGTCATTAATATCCCTCAATATTAATAGTCTTATCTTGCCCATAATAAGACACAGTCTAACAGAATGGATTCCAACACAGAATCCATCCTGCTGCTGCATACAAGAAACACATCTCAGCTTCAAAAACAGATATTGCCTCAGAGTTAAGGGTTGGAAAAAGATTTTTCAATCAAATGGACCCAAGAAACAAGTAGGAGTAGCAGTCCTAATATCTAACAAATTTGATTTTAAACTGAAATCAATCAAAAGAGATGAAAAAGGTCATTTCATACTCATCACAGGAGAAATCCACCAAGATTAAGTCTCAATTCTGAATATCTATCCCCAAACACAAATGTGACCATGTTTCTAAAAGATAGATTACTAAAATTACAACCATACATAAAACCCCACACACATATACTGGGAGACTGCAACATCCCATTCTCACCACTAGACAGTACTACCAGACAGAAACTTGACAAAGAAGCAAATTCAGGGCTAAACTCAATAAAGTAAAAACTAGTAAAACAATACAAAGATTCATTTAAGGAAGAGTTGTTTCTTTGAGAAAATCAATAAGATAGAAAAACCTTTATCCAAATTTAACAAAATGTAGAGGGTGAACATGCAAATTAACAAAATCAGAAATAAAAAGTGAGACATAACAATGGCCACTGAGGAAATCCAGAGAATCACTAAGTCATAATTTAAAAACCTGTACTGCACAAAATTCAAAAATTGAAAGGAAATGGACAGTTTTCTGGATAGATATCACTTGCTAAAATTAAATCAAGAACAGAAAAGCAGTGTAATTAGACCAATAGGCCTAAAGAAATAGAAACAGTCATCAAATGTTTCCCATACAAAAAAAGCCCAGATCCAGTTGGCCTCAGTGCAGAATTCCACCAGAAATTCGAAGAACGGATAATATCAGTTCTCCTCAAAGTATTCCACACAATAGAAGCAGAAAGGTATTTGCCAAACTGTTTTAATGGGACTCAATAACCTTAATACACAGGCCATACAAAGACACAACTAAGAAAACAAATTTCAGGCCAATATCTCTCATGAACATTGAAGCAGAAATATTCAAGAAGATACTGGCAAATCAGATCCAGGAACATATCAGAAAAATCATACACCATGATCAAGTATGTTTCATCCCAGTGATGCAGGGATGGTTAAACATATGAAAATTCATCAATGTAATCCACCATATAAGCAAGCTGAGAAACCAAAAATCACATGATTATCTCACTATATGCTGAAAAGTTCTCTGACAAAATCCAATGTCCTTTAATGATAAAGGTCTTGGAGAGATCTGGGATAACAGGAACATACCTATACATAATAATATATACAGCAAACCAACAGTCAACATCAAACTAAATGAAGCGAAACTCAAGGTGATTCCTCTAAAATCAGACCCAAGACAAGGCTGTTCACTCTTTCCATACCTCTTCAATATTGTACTTGAACTTCTAGCCAGACACGTAAGACAACAAACGGAGATCAAGGGGATACAAATTTGAAAGGAAGAGGTCAATCTTTTGCTATTTGCAGATTATATGATAATTTACATAAGTGATCTGAAAAACTGTACCAGGGAATTCCTTCAGTTGATGAACGCCTTCAGCAAACTGGCAAGATATAAGATCAACTGAAGAAAATCATTAGCCCTACTATATGCAGACGATAAATAGGCTGAGAAAGAAATCAGAGAAACATCACCCTTTACAATTGCAACAAACCACATGAAATATCTTGGAGTAACATTACCCAAACAATCAAAAGACCTGTATCACAAAAAATTAAAGAAGACACCAGAAAATGGAAAGAACTCCCATGCTCTTGGATAGGTAGGATCAACATAGTAAAACTGGCAATCTTGCCAAAAGCAATCTACACATCCAATGTAATCCCCATTAAAATCCCAGCACAATTCTTCATAGAATGTGAAAGAACAATTTTCAACTTTATATGGAAAAACAAAAGACCCAGGATATCCAAAACAACCCTGTTCAACAATGGAATGTCCTGATGCATCACCATCCCTGACTACAAGCTCTATTATAGAGCCACAGTTCTGAAAACAGCTTGATATTGGTACAGAAATAAACAGGTAGACCAATGGAATAAAAATAAAAACCCTGAAATTAACCTACACATGTATGAACACTTGGTTTTTGACAAAGAAGCTAAAATTATATGATGGAAAAAAGATAGCATCTTCAATAAATGGTGCTGGCGTAACTGGATGCTAACATGTAAAAGACTGCAGATAGATCCATGTTTATTGTCATGCACAAAACTTAACTCCAAATGAATCAAAGACATTAACATAGATCCAGTCACAATGAACCTTTTAGAAGAAAAATTGTGGGATACCCTTGAACGAATTGGTACAAGAGACCTGAACATAATACCAGTAGCATAGACACTGATATCGACAATTAATATTGGTACCTTCTGAAACCGAGAAGCTTCTACAAGGCAAAGGATACAGTCAATAGTACAAAAAGGCAGACAACAGAATGGGAAAAGATATTCATTAAGGTTACATCTGACAGAGGGTTACTCTCCAAAATTTACAAAGAACTCAAAAGGCAAGTTTCCAAAGCACTAAAGGATTCAATTACAAAGTGGTTCACAGAACTAAACAGAGAGTTCTTAATAGAGGAGTCTAAAATGGCTGAAAGACACTCAAGAAAGTGCCCAACATTGCTAGCAATTAGGAAAATCCAAATCAAAACAGTACTGTGATACCACCCTACTCCTATCAGAATTGTTAAACTCAAAAACACCAATGCAAGTTTATGCTGGAGAGGAAGTGGAGAAAAGGGAACACACCTCCACTGCTGGTGTGAGTGCCAACTCCTACAGCCACTATAGAAATCAGTATGGAGATTCCTCAGGATATTGGGAATCAGTCTACCACTAGACCCAGCAATTCCACACTTAGGCATATACCCAAAAGATGCACATTCATAAAGCAAGGACATCTGTTCCACTATGTTTATAGCAGCACTATTTGTAATAGCCAGAACCTGGAAGCAACCTAGATGCCACTCAACTGACAAGTGGATAGAGAAAATGTGGTATATTTACACAATGGAGGACTACTCAGTGGGAAAAAAACCAATGGATTCTTGGAATTTGCATGCAAATGGATTGCACTAGAAGAAACCATCCTGAGTGAGGTTACCCAGTCACAAAAAGACAAACATGGTATGTACTCACTCATAGATGGACTTTAGACATAGATCAAAAGAGTGCCAGTCTACAATACCACTTCCAGAGTGTCTGGGAAACAGGGAGGACCCTAAGAAAGATATGCATGGTACCCCAGAGAAGATGGAATGATGCAAGATCTCCTGAGGAGATTGGGAACATGTGGGTGGAGGGGAGAGAGAGTCAGGAAAAAGAGAGGGGGAGAAGAGGAAAGGAGAGGAGTACATGGGGGAGCAGGAAGTTTGAGTTGGGGAAATAATAGAGGAGAGCAGGATGAGAGATGCCATAATAGAGGGAGTCATTTAAGGTTTGAGGGGAGAACTGGAACTAGTGAGATTTCCAGAGATCTACTAGGATGACACCAACTGGCAAATGAAGAAATAGTGAAGAGACTACATTAAATGCCCCTCAATAATAATGACTTTGATGACTATCTTATATATCATCCTAGAACCTCCATCCAGTGACAGATAGAAGCAGAGGCAGAAACCCACCGCTAAACACTGAACTGAACTCCTGGAACCCAGTGAGAGTGGCAGGAATGATGAATAAAGGGCTCAAGCCTGGGCTGGTGAAACCCAGAGAAAGAGCTGATCTGAACAAGGTGGAAATTTTGGACACTAGACTGATGGCTGAAAGGCCAGCTTGGGACTGATACAGATCCCTTGAATGTGGGTGTGAGTGAGGCAGCCTAGGCAGTATATGAGGCTTTGGGTAGTCAATCATTGTATATCACTGACACACAAATGGACATTGAGTGCACATCCCACAATGAGGCATTCTCTCTCAGCCTGGACTCTTGGAGGAGTGCCTAGGCCCTACCCTGAATGAAATGACAAACTGTGGAGATCCCCCATGGAGGGCCTTACCCTCCCTGGGTAATGGAGTGGGGATTGGGTGAGAGGCTGGGGGTTCTGGTGGAGTGTGGGGAGGAGGGAATGGAGAGGGAGCTGGGACTGACATGTGAAACAAGCTTGTTTCTAATTTAAATATAAAATAAAAATACATTCAATAAAAAAGAAACTCTGAAAGCCAGAAGGTACTGTGTAGATGTTCTACAAATGCAAAGCCAACCCAAACTACTGTACCCAGCAAAGCATTCAGTAACTATAGATGGAAAAACAAGATATTCCATGACAAAACTAGGTTTAACAATACATGTCCATACATCCAGACCTACAGAAAGTTCTGAAAGGAAACCTCCAACCCAAAAAAGATACTACACAATCAAAAACATAGGCAATAGATGATCCCACTTTACCAAACACAAAAAGGAAAAAGTCAGGGAAATCCACACATAATACCACCACCACCAAAAAATTCAAAACAAACAAAAATCAGCAAGTGGTGTTTATTAATATCCTTCAATGTCAATGGTCTTCATATGCCTAAAAAAAGACACAGGTTAACAGAATGAGTATGAGCAGAGAATCCATCCTTCTGCTGAATACAAAAATATATCTCAATGTCAAAGATAGATGTTACCTCAGAGTAAGGAATTGGAAAGAGATTTTCCAATCAAATGGAACCAAGAAGCAAGATGGTTTAGCAATCATAATATCTAATAAATTAGATTTTAAATGAAAATCAATCAAAAGAGATGAAGAAAGTCATTTCATACTCAGCATAAGAAAAGTCAATCAAGATGAAGTATCAATTCTGAG